CGCCGCCCCATTTTCTGCAATGCTATTGGCTGGACCGCGTGGATCCATGTTTGTTATCAACTGTGACTCGGATTGTACTGTATTGTATTTAGGGGTGAGCATTATTTATATATATATATTTATTTATTTTAGGCCAAAACCCCTATTTGCACTTGTACCCTCTATTTATTTCTTTTTCACGGTCAACACTTCCAAAATTTTTCCTCTCTATTCACATATTTTATTTTTTAAAATCCGTAAAAAACTCAATATTTTAACGAATCATCACGACATCGTTAAAAAATGCACTACGTGGCACTCAGAAATTGACGTGGCACATGCGGCATTTCTTTATTTGTTAGTTTCAGACGTGGATCTGTTTTTTTATGACGTGGCTTCTTTTTTGCACACGTGGACATCACGTGTGCAGTGGGACCCATTGCACGATTTCTCTTGTCCCCACATCCCCCACCAAAAAAAAAAATTTTTCAAAACCCAGAGCTGGATTCCCTGTGAGGAACCCGATTTGGGTTCCTCGTCCCCAGATCGGGTTCGAGCTGGGTTCCTCCGGAGGAACCCATGAGGAACCCGACTCTGGGTTCCTCGTCGTGAGGAACCCAGAGCTCCTGTTCTAAATTTTTTTATTTTTTTATTTTTTATTTAAATAAGCCACATCATAAAAAAAAAGCATCCACATTGGATTACTAACGGCACATAGTGACCACATCGATTTTTGAATGCTACGTGGTACATTTTGTAACGGTACCGTGACGGCACGTTAAAATGTTAGGTTTTTTGCGGGTTTGAAAAGTTAAGGGTGTGAATAGGAAGGAAAAATTCTGGAAGGTGTTGACCGTAGAAAAGAAATAAATGGAGGGTGGGCTTTGGCCTTTATTTTAGTTGCATAATAAGAAGGTAATTATTTTTTATACTTTATTTTATCCTACTTGCATGTCATGTAATTTAAATTTGAAATCTCTTATTTTTAATAAAAAAAATAATCATGAAGTAATTTAAGTTATTGGCGAGTAATATTTAGTATTTAATTTAAAAAATTTTAGATATGACATCTTAGATTACGTGTTATTTAAATATTTGAAAATTATACTTAGTGTTTAATTTAATAAAGTATAATATAACTTCGGAATATATATTTATGTATTTGTTAAATGATATTTTGTTTTAAAATTTTTTTAATTAAAATTTAATAAAATATTATTTACTTTTAACCTAAACTTATATAAAATTAGTAAAAATTTAAGAAATTATTATTTATTATAATCTAAACTTAAATATAATTTAAAATAATAATAGAAAACTTTAATTTGGTTTCATATCTAGAACTCAAATATATATACAATTAAAAAAATTAAACTTAATTAAATAATTAATAATAAAGAATGAAAAATATATATCCAAAAAATAAAAAATGAAAATAAATTAAATAATAAAATAAAAGTCCGTTCAAAAAGATGTCCAAGTTTTTAGGTTTATAATCCCCTTAATCCTTTGTCTAGATTTTTGGACTTATAATCTTTTCAATTCACTATTTCGATTTATTATGAGTAATGGTTGATAGTATTATATCTATTTTAACATCATTATATTTATATTTTTGATTTATTATTTTTATCATATAAAATTTGAAATTTGAAGTTAAAAAATTATTTATATAATAAATAAAGATTATAATTTTAAAAATTACTAATAGAAAAATAAAAAGAAAGTTAAAAAAAAAGTTAAAAAGAATCAAATTTTAAAATTATATATACTCACTATTGCCTAAGCGTGTAAGAAAGGAAAAAAGTTATTGGGGGCGCAGGTGATATGTGTTTAGTTTATGGTTTATTATTTACAAGCTGTATGTGTAATTTTTTTTTATATATTTTATTATTTTTATTTTAAAAAATTATTGTTATTATATAGGTATTAAGCATCATAAATATATCTAGAATTTTAATTATATAAGTATAGGTAACAAGTTAATTAAATAAAAGGGTTAAACAAGTTAAATAATTTTGAACCCTTACACTTATTACTTAATTTGATATTTATAAATATATTATTCTCATACTTATTATTTACTCAATTTTTTATAATTCAAATAAGATATTTATCTAAATAAGTAAAATATATCCATACCAATGCTCACCCTTTGTATTGGATCCTATTCCTAAATTCCGAATGAAAAGCCTTTTTGGGTTGGACTTTGAAGGTGGAGGAGCCCAGTTCGAAACCAAGGCCCATTATTGAGAACTTGGATAAGAAAATGGTCAGCTCGGGCTTACCAAGACCAGACCGAAGGAGAAGGCGACGGAGTCGGGCTGTCGGAGCAATTTCCGGTCAGGTGGACGGTAGTGGGACTCGAATCTACCTTTTACAATTTTAAATTACCACCATAGATGATGTAGAATCTCAACGCCAAGAAGGCATGGGTGGACTCCCTCGGAACCTTCCTCGTTCGCCCTCCTATGTCCTTCCTTGCATCATTGCCCTCGCCTTCCTCTCTGTCTCCGCCATCTTTCTCTACAAGGTTTGAACAAAATCATACCATTTATAGAGGAGTTTGTTCGATTTATCTTAACCTTGTTTATGTGTTTGCTAGTACTGGGTGAAGATTTCATTTCTTTTTATAAATTTTTCTTTACCTAATTTCATGGAACATATGGAGAAATTGAGATCTCACATCACTGATAGAAATAGAAAAGTTTTGGGTTTGTTGTTTTATTGGGAAAGAATCAAGCTTTGGCAATTTTTAATTTAAAGATTCCATTTTGTTCTCTTTTGCTTTGAGAACGGTTTTTGGATTGTGAGAAAGGGCACCCAAAGAGTTTGCACTTTTCTGACGTCTTTCTTTGCCTTTTCATTTCGTTTGGGAATTTCGTCGAACAGGTGGATGATTTCGTCTCGCAAACCAAAACAGTTGCAGGGCACAACTTACAACCAACTCCGTGGCACCTATTCCCGCCGAGAACGTTCAGTAAAGAGACTCGACAAGCTCGAGCTTTCAAGATCATACAATGCTCTTACCTCACTTGTCGTTATAACACCAGGAAGGACAATGACACGGAGTCGGAGCAACGACGCCTGTCTGTATCCTCTCTACGCACCCAAAAATGCCCAGGTTTTTTCAACTTCATTCATAACGATCTTCAGCCGTGGGCTAAAACCCGGATATCCAAGGACCATGTAATGGCAGCGAAGAAATATGCTGCATTTCGGGTTGTTATCGTGGGTGGGAGATTATATGTGGATTTGTACTATGCTTGTGTACAGAGCAGGCTGATGTTTACGGTATGGGGACTGTTGCAGCTGCTAAGGAGGTATCCTGGCATGGTGCCTGATGTGGATATAATGTTTGATTGCATGGATAAACCTAGTATTAATCGAACTGAACATGGATCCTTCCCCTTGCCATTGTTTCGATACTGTACAACAGATGCTCACTTTGATATCCCATTTCCTGATTGGTCCTTCTGGGGTTGGTAAGAATCGATAACCTACAGACTTCTATTGTTGTAGCTGGCCTATGTATTTTATTTTTAATAATTGATTCATATTAGCTATAAGGTAACAAATATATAATTCTATGTTACAGTATTGTTTGCATGTAATTACATCTGATTCTGAAAAGTGCGCTGATGTGAATGGCTTAGGCTATTATTGAACGCTAGCTTCAGATCTAGACTTGTTAAATATGCTTGTTTACATACTGGAGTAGTTGTCTTGAGACGTGCTTTGTACCTTCATTTTGTATGCACGGGTGGGGGCATCTACTATGGTACTATCTTCATTCTTTTAGGTATAAGTCAATAGACTCATCCGTGTATTGAAGAAGATGCTTTTAATATTGGCTATTAATGCCTGGGCGTGATTTGAATTCTCAGCATGTCTTCAAGGTAACTGACTTGTGTGCAGGCCAGAGACAAATATAAAGCCCTGGGATGAGCAGTTCAGAGAGATTAAGAAGGGTTCTCAAAAAATAAAGTGGGGGAAGAAGCTTCCCCATGCATTCTGGAAGGGGAATCCTGATGTTGACTCACCCATCCGAACAGAGCTACTACAATGTAATCACTCTAGAAAGTGGGGAGCACAAATTTTGCGTCAGGTTAAGTTTGGAACCTTATAAATGCAGAAGTCTATAAATCTGATGATCATAATATCCAAAATTATATATTAAGTAAATGCAACCATGATAAATTTTACAATTTGTTGCAGAATTGGGTGGAAGAAGCAAAATCTGGATATGAGAAGTCAAAACTGTCAAATCAGTGTAACCATCAGTGAGTTCTCTTCCCACGGTTATATTGATTAAAAATTCTCCTTCTCCCCTCGTTCCCCACTGCAAGAAAAAGAAAAACAAAATTTCTATTGATTACCATTCTTGTGCTTCATGTCTGTGTATGCTAGCTTACATGTCACATGGCTTCTTTTCACCTGATGATCCTACTCAAATTATAGATTGTGTATTTGCATTTCCTTGGAAGGGATGACTTGAAAAAAAAAAAAAAAATCCATATCATTTGAACAAGAGTTGCATCCATTAATGAAATGCCTTATTCCTAATCTAGGACTTAAAATGTTAGTTCTTGGACTCAAAAAGCATGGCTCAAGTGCCTTTTCCACACCCCCCCCCCTTTTTTTTTTTGGCAGTTCTGTTAATATAATGTGATATGTTGATATATTTCCTCCTCATGCAGGTATAAAATCTATGCCGAAGGCTATGCTTGGTCTGTAAGCTTGAAATATATTCTATCCTGTGGTTCTCTTGCACTGATAATTTCTCCACAATATGAAGATTTCTTCAGTCGTGGTCTCATTCCAAAGGAAAACTACTGGCCAGTTTCTCCCATTAACTTGTGTCCGTCAATAAAGTTTGCTGTTGACTGGGGTCATGCTCATCCATTAGAGGTATGGTTTAAATTACATTTCATTTTTTGTTTGTAATTTGATTTGTGTTTGCTGAGAACCCGTATGTCATGCTGTAGTTCGTCTGTTTCTAATCTTGGTTGAACTTGGGTTTTTGGATTCAAAGTGTGCACACAGTAGCAAGAACAATAGAATAGTGATACATTCTTCTTCTTCTTCTTCTTCTTCTTTTCTTATAAATTTGTATAAACAGGCTGAGGCAATGGGAAAAAGAGGACAAGATTTCATGGAAAACTTGAGTATGGATCGTGTCTATGATTACATGTTTCACCTTATCAGTGAGTACTCAAAACTGCAAGATTTCAAGCCTGTACCACCATCCTCTGCCCTACCGGTATGTGCAGAGTCCCTACTTTGCCTGGCTGACCCCTTGCAGAGGGAGTACCTTGAAAGAGAAACGGCCGTCCCTTCACCAGCTGCTCCATGCGGCATGGAACCTGCCAATGGTAATTTCGTAAGGAGTTGGATAGAAAGGAAAAAGAAAACAATTGAAGATGTTAGAGTAATGATGGAGAAGAAAGCGATGAGTCATGCCAAGTAGAGTGCTTGTATTTAAAAAGAATTATAAATTAATAAAATTAATTACAAAAAAATGTATTACAGTCTGGTACAGTTCGAACTGTAACACAAGATTTTCAATTAATTAATTCAAACACCTTAATTGTATTATTTGTGTAGCCTTAGTAAAAGCACATGGTGGCGATAACCATGGTAGTGGAATGGATACTCAAAATATTTAGAATTAAAGTTGAGTCATACGTGGAGAAATTTTTTTAATATTTATTTATTTTTATTTATAAAATTTAAAATTAAAATTATATTTAAAAAAATTTAATTCATTTTACTCGAATCATCTCATCAAATAGTCGATAAATATTCTCACTTATTTCAATCCCTGTCAAATCAAAACAGAACAAGGTGATGAAGAATGCACACCCCACCACTAAAAGCTAACAAATCTAAAAGTAGATGACTAAAAGCTAACAAATGTAAAAGTGGATAAAAGAATTCCTTCGTGTGGCTAAGTGGATAGGCACGTTACCACACGAGTAGATTTTTACTTTGATTTTGATTTTAAATAGATATTAATTTATTAATTTAATATATTTTTTTATTAAACTAAAAAAATAAAAGTAGATGAAAAAAAAAAAGAATGCAGGATGAACAGATCTTTTTGGTCTAACCAAATACATATATTCCTATAAGTGAAAATTACTTAGTGGATAAACACTCATGTCAAGTGAGATTCTTTCCTTTTTCCTTTTAGGAAATCAACTAATGTTAGTTAATTGTCCCCATTGACATCCCCTTTTTTTTTTTCACTGCAATTTTCTAGCAGTCCAATCAACACATAGGGTGTGTGTGATTAAAAGCTAACTTTCTAAAAAAGGTTTTAGGTTTTAAATAAAATTTTATTGAAATTTTATTAGTTTATTATCTTTATTATGTTTAGTAAAAATTTGATATATAAAAAAGGTTACTAGAAAAAAAAAAAGTTTAGTGAGGTTAAATAAGAAATTTTTTTTCTTTTTAAAAGATGTGAGAAGAAAATTTTATAAATTAAAAATTATTTCAACAAAAATAAAATTTAAAAATATTACACTATTTTTTATTTATTATAATTTTAAAATATATAAATATTTAAATATCTTCACAAAAGTTTAAAACAGACTATTTACATGAATTTACCATAAATATTAATTTTAGTATAATTGCAACATAAATATATTTAATTAATACAAATTAAAAAAACCTATTTTAATATTTGAATAGAATTGATCTACGAGTGATTGGTGCTTTTTCCGC